TCTTCTTCTTCTTCTTCTTCTTCTTCTTCTTCTTCTTCTTCTTCTCTCTTCGGGGTTCTTCTTCGTCTTCTTCTTCTTCTTCTTCTTCTTCTTCTTCGTCGCTTCTTCTTCTTCTTCTTCTTCTTCTTCTTCTTCTTCTTCTTCTTCTTTTCTTCTTCTTCTTCTTCTTCTTCCTTCTTCTTCTTCCTTCTTCTTCTTCTTCTTCTTCTTCTTCTTCTCTTCTTCTTCTTCTTCTTCTTCTTCTCTTCTTCTTCTTTCTTCTTCTTCTTCTTCTTCTCTTCTTCTTCTTCTTCTTCTTCTTCTTCTTCTTCTTCTTCTTTCTTCTTCTCTTCTTCTCTTCTTCTTCTTCTTTCTTCTTCTTCTTCTTCTTCTTCTTCTTCTTCTTCTTCTTCTTCTTCTTCTTCTTCTTCTTCTTCTTCTTCTTCTTCTTCTTCTTCTTCTTCTTCTTCTTCTTCTTCTTCTTCTTCTTCTTCTTCTTCTTCTTCTTCTTCTTCTTCTTCTTCTTTCTTCTTCTTCTTCTTTCTTCTTCTTCTTCTTCTTCTTCTTCTTCTTCTTCTCTTCTTCTTTCTTCTTCTCTTCTTCTTCTTCTTCTTCTTCTTCTTCTTCTTCTTCTTCTTCTTCTTCTTCTTCTTCTTCTTCTTCTTCTTCTTCTTCTTCTTTTCTTCTTCTTCTTCTTCTTCTTCTTCTTCTTCTCTTCTTCTTCTTCTTCTTCTTCTTCTTCTTCTTCTTCTTTCTTCTTCTTCTTCTTCTTCTTCTTCTTCTTCCTTCTTTCTTCTTCTTCTCTTCTTCTTCTTCTTCTTCTTCTTTCTTCTTCTTTCTTCTTCTCTTCTTCTTCCTTCTTCTTCTTCTTCTTCTTCTTCTTCTTCTTCTTCTTCTTCTTCTTCTTCTTCTTCTTCTTCTTCTTCTTCTTCTTCTTCTTCTTCTTCTTCTTCTTCTCTTCTCTTCTTCTTCTTCTTCTTCTTCTTCCTTCTTCTTCCTTCGTCTTCTTCTTCTTTCTTCTTTCTTCTTCTTCTTCTTCTTTCTTCTTCTCTTCTTCCTTCTTCTTCTTCTTCTTCTTCTTCTTCTTCTTCTTCTTTTCTTCTTCTTCTTCTTCTTCTTCTTCTTCTTCTTCTCTTCTTCTTCTTCTTCTTCTTCTTTCTTCTTCTTCTTCGTCTTCCTCCTTCGTCTTCGTCTTCTTCTTCTTCTTCTCTTCTTCTCTCTTCTTCTCTTCTCCTTCTTCTTCTCCTTCTTCTTCTTCTCTCTCTTCTTCTTCTCTCTCTTCTCTCTTCTCTTCTTCTTCTTCTTCTTCTTCTTTCTTCTTCTTCTTCTCTTCTTCTTCTTCTTCTTCTTCTTCTTCTTCTCTTCTTCTTCTTCTTCTTCTTCTTTCTTCTTCTTCTTCTTCCTTCTTCTCCTTCTTCTTCTTCTTCGTCGTCTTCTTCTTCTTCTTCTTCTTCTCTTCGTCTTCTTCTTCTCTCCCTACTTCTTCTTCTTCTTCTTCTTCCTTCTTCTTCTTCTCTTCTTTCTTCTTTCTCTTCTTCTCTTCTCTTTCTTCTTCTTTTCTTTCTCTTCTCTTCTCTTTTCTTCTCTTTCTTTCTTTCCCTCTCTTCTTCTTTCTCTCTTCTTCTTCCTTTCTTTCGTCTTCTTCTTCTTCTTCTTCTTCTTCTTCTTCTTCTTCTTCTTCTTCTTCTTCTTCTTCTTTCTTCTTCTTCTTCTTCTTCTTCTTCTTCTTCTTCTTTCTTCTTCTTCTTCTTCTTCTTCTTCTTCTTCTTCTTTCTTCTTTTCTTCTTCTTCTTCTCTTCTTCTTCTTCTTCTTCTTCTTCTTCTTCTTCTTCTTCTTCTTCTTCTTCTTCTTCTTCTTCTTCTTCTTCTTCTTCTTCTTCTTCTTCTCTTCTTCTTCTTCTTCTTCTTCTTCTTCTTCTTCATTCTCTTCTTCTTGGCTTCTTCTCTCTCTTCTTACTTCTTCTGTCTATTCCTTCGCTCGTTCTCTTCTCTCTTCTTCTTCTTCTTCTTCTTCTTCTTCTTCATCCTTCTCTCCTCTCTCTCTTCTTCTCCTTCGTCTTCTTCTTCTCTTCTCTTCTTCTTCTTTCTCTCTCTCTTCTCTTCTCTCCTCCTCTTATCTTCTTCTATCTTCTTTCTTCTTTTCTTCTTCTTCTTCTTCTTCTTCTTCTTCTTCTTCTTCTTCTTCTTCTTCTTCTTCTTCTTCTTCTTCTTCTTCTTGCTTCTTCTTTCTTCTTCTTCTTCTTCTTCTCTCTTCTTCTTCTCTTCTTCTTCTTCCTTCTTCTTCTTCTTCTTCTTCTTTCTTCTGCTTCTTGCTTCTTCTTCTTCTTTCTTCTTCTTCTTCTTCTTCTACCTTCTTCTTCTGCCATTTCTTCTTTCATTACTTCTTCTTCTTCTTCTTCTCTTCTTCTTCTTCTTCTTCTTCTTCTTTCTTTCCTTCTTCTTCTGTCTTCTTCTTCTTCCTATTCTTCTTCTTCTTCTTCTTTCTTCTTCTTACTTCTTCTTCTTCTTCTTCTTCTTCTTC